TTTTGCAGAACCAGGGATTGAACTCAAGCCCTTGTGCTTGCCAGGGAAGTGCTTATTCCACTGAGCCATCTCCCTGGCCCTTAACTTACTCTTTACCATCTGAAATCCTGTAATAAGGATACATTATTAGTAAATTGAGACAATAAAGACATTTCTTCAGTGGCCACACAACAGGACAGAAAGCCTGCGGCAACTGTGTAACTTCAGTGAATCCTAACGACATTTTAAAGAAAATGCATAGAAACTCACAGGCCACTGTTCCTCAGTTGGTGTGCCCAAAGTTTCAAAGATTCTTGTAAGCTGATCGAGATCTGAGTCTCCTGGCAAAAAAGGAACCTGGGGTAAAACAAAGAAAGAGACAAAACATTGCAAGGTGATTTTTGATAGTTATTACACAAATCAACATTATTATTATTATTATTATTATTATTATTATTTTTTTATTTTTTTAAAAATTGAGATAGGGTCTTGCTGGTTAGTCCGGGCTGGCCTCAAACTAGTGGCAATCCCTGGCTTCAGCCTCCTGAATGCTAAAATTATAGGCATGCACCACCACACTCAGCATAAACTATAAATTCAGTAAAATAATTGAAAAGGGTTAGAAATGAAGTAAGGATTGCTTTGCAGCCTCTTCACTAAGATTAGTGCAGAAATAAAGTAGGGACTACTCACTTTACTCACTACTAATTTCACTCTTGAGAAGCTCTAATAAACTTCACCATGTAACAGGCACTGGGTGGGCTAAAGCTTAGCTACTGCAACAAGAGAAAGCTACTGCCTGCTTTCCCCGAGGTAAGGTGATGAACACTGACATAAAACACAAGATTCGTAAGCTGAGTCCAACACCCTATCCCACAGAGAAACAGCACCGAGGCTCTCAGGGTGGTCAGGTAAAAAAAACTTCCCAGAGGAGGCAGCAGTGGAAGGCAAGGGACACCGGGATTACGGTGCTCAGAAGGGCTTCCGATGGAAGCAGAGAACCATTCCAGGGAAGGTACCAGTTCTGGAGGGGAACAGAACGTAGCAATATTCCAACCCCGCTGAAATCATTTAGTGGTAAATCCTTTCTTTAAAGAAGTGTAGGGGGACAAAAAGAAGTGTAGGGGCCAGTGAGATAGCTCAGCAGAGTAAGCACCTGCTTAGGCAGGCACAGGGACCTGGGTTCAATCCCTGGCACCACGTGCCACACTGGCCCTGCCCTTGGGCCCGCTGAGCCGGCCACCAAGACCAGGCGTGGCGGTGCATGCATTGGGGAGGCTGAAAATAGGATGATCACTATGAATCTGAGTTGCATAGTGAGATCCTACACCAAATACATTTTTTAAAAAAAAGTGTAATGGCAAACTTTAAAAAAGGCTAATAATCACACATCAAAAATACAAGTGATGAATTATCAACATCCCTGCTACCATAGACATTATTTTCCAATTCATTTTTTTCAAATGAAAAAGAAAAAAGCCTTAATTCTCAATACAATGATCTTGAACACTTTTTTTTTGACCAATATTTTTTTGTTGTTTTGTCTTTTTTTTGTTTTTATTTATTTATTTTTTGAGCACTTTTAAGAAATTTACAAATATTTACATTTTAAAATGTCACTGGGCGCTGTGGCTGAGTGGTAGAGCCTCGCCTGTGCAAGGCCCTGGGTTCCATCCTTAGCACCACAAAAAAATGAACAATAAAAGAAATGAATACCGCTATCCACCTACCAAGTTAAAAAAAAAAAAAGAGAGAGAAGGTGGGAGAGCTTCCAGCTACCCTGCGCCGGCGGGACCTGCTGGTCCCAGCCCAGGCGCAGCATGGGTGAGACCCTCTTCCACTCCCTTGGGACCCCCACCACCACTCCGCAGCACCCCCCTGCCCTGCCCACCAAGTGAGAAGTTCTGCCGTGTTCTGGGGACCCCCAGATCCAGTCCTAGCCCAGGCCCCGTGTTGGGCGTGGGGCGTGGGACCCTGGGGCTCATACCCTCAGCAGGTGCTCTACCACTGAGTTATATCCATAGTCTTCTCAGCTTCTAGAACAATGACTAGCACATTGCAGACGCCAACTAGCATTTGCTGAATCAAGATATAAGCCAATGAATTAGCCAGTAAGTAGTATGACTCAGTGACTACACGAAGCAGTCCACAAGGGAGCCGAAAACAATCCGGACGTGCTTTTCTGGGAACTTACTCTCCAAATTTCCACAATTTAGTTTCCCTTTCTCTGAAATGATCTTTCTCTTTCAGCATGCCACAGAATTGCAATTAGAACAAATTGGAAATTTATTCTAATATTTTGAAAGAAACTTTCTGCCTCATCTAAAATATTTGGGAAATAATTATGCAATATGCTGTTTGTGTCATTTACCTCAATTCTTCACACCCAACTATTTCATTTAGTGATTTCATAAAACACCAAGAACAAAAGAAAGCATAAAAATAGATTTTGAGTAAGTTTATCATGCTACCTACTTATTTATTTGTCAATGATGGAAAAACTTCAAAATACCAACTTAAAATAGTTAATGAAATTATACTGTAATGTTCTCTCTTCTCTTTTAATACTCTATTCTCGTATGTATAGATACCATATTTTGCAAATAAAATTATTGGATTTAAAAAAAAACCTAATAAAACCAAAAATAAAAACGTCACATGGCAGACATGATTTTAATGAAGAACCAGGTCTCTCAACATTTTT